GATAGCATTACAGATGTCTTCTATTCCCCTTCTCCCCCTTAAACTTCTTAGCAAGACCATTGAAACTTTGGTCTCCTGAGCAATTGTCAACCCCTATTAATAAGCTCTGAACAAAGAAAAACAGTAAGCAGCAGAGGTAACAATCAACACAAAGGTGTGTCTAAGAGCTCTAAGGCAGGTGAGGACACCAGTCAGGGTCAATGGACTACTGAAGTAAGAGCAAGCAGGTCCATTCAGGGAAGTGCAAGCAGAGCCCTGAGACTGAAGCTCAGGAGGACACAGGAGAAAAGGCGGCCTCAGAGGCAGGCAGCAGACCAATCATTAGCCTGCTGTCTTCAGACTGGCCAGCAGCTGAGGATGTGTTAGGAAGGCCACAGACAGCCCCTCGGTGTTGCAGGAGGGGCCTGAAAGAATCAGGTTCAATATTACCCCTGGCCATGTCCCAAGACTCCATTCTATCTGATGCCCCATACTAGGAGCTTGGGCTTTTGCACATTTGTAAAACAGGGACCTCTTTTACACATGGAGTGGAGTAGAAGAGACTTTCTGTTGAGAGAGAGAGAGAGAGAGAGAGAGAGAGAGAGAGAGAGAGAGAGATTACAGTTCCCTTCAGCAAGATAGGTAATCAAAACTATAGAACAGGAAGAAGATGGGGATGAACTCAGCCTGGAAAAATAAGGGTCCCTCCAGGAAGCAAACAAGGCCTTCTGCCTCTTCAATACTCCTTTCTCTCAAGCTGTCCCTCTCCAGACGCTGCCCTGTGTCTGCACTCAGAGTAGGAAGCCTGCAGCTGGCTTTTCTTCCCTTCAGAGCACATCTGTGCCACAAAATACCTCACCTAACTTCACCTAGTACCTTTCTCTGCAAGTCCCCCACGCTGGGCCTGCCATCAACCTCCCCACACACCTTCAGGTCCCAGCGGAGATGTCTTGACTCCTGGTGTAAGTGGTGAGGAAAAGACGGGGCAGTTCTGGTCAGGGTTCATTCTCCAACCGGGGGCTGAGTCTGCATGAAGTAGTTCCTCCTGAGGAACTGGCTGAGAAGTGAAAGTGAAATTCTCGGGGCTGGCAGGAAAAGGAAAGGGGACGGAGCTTCTGAGCCAAATGGTGGCAGTCCTTCAGGGCGACTGCAGAGTAATGCTTTAACCCGGTGTTTGTAGAAGGGTGGGGTGGGGAGGGAAGATTTGCCCCTGGGGACTTTTGGCAAAGTCGGAAAGTTTTGGTTGTCATGACTACGAGGAAGGCTACTGCCATCTAGTGGGTAGAAGTCAGGGATACAGCTAACCATTCTATAATGCACAGGGAGGCTCCCACAACAAAGACTTATCCAGGCCAACCTTCTACCAAATGTACTATGTGTTCAAAATAGAAAATGATGGTCACTTTTGGATACTCACCTTAGGGTATCAGGAGTTCCTCTGGTGGATTACTTGCGGCTGAGTTATATTCTGGGAGGCAGAAATGGCTAGAATGAAGGATAAACAATTCGTTGTAATCTGCAACTGGTTCCATGAGACGGTACTTGGAGCTCCAGGTAAACAAGAGATACCACAAGAAGTGGGCAAGGGTCACACCATAGAGACTTGTTTTTTTATGGGCAGAGGGAGAACTGAAATTATCCGGAGGATTATAACAACCACTACAGGTGTAAAGTGGCAGCTTTTGTTACCAGGTAAAGGTGTTTATTCCCTTGTAGACATCAAAGCCCAATCAAAGACAAACAGGAGTTTGCAGCAAAGAAAGTAAAGGTTTATTTTGAAGGAAATGACACCAAACCCAGAGTCCCAGGTGAGCTATTGCCCTGAGACCTGGCTCCCTGATGGCCAGGTGATGGGTTATATAGGTGGAAAATCATTAATTATGGCAACTGAGGGAGTTGGGTTGTGGGTTCTGCTGGCTGGTCAGGGCCAAGGTGGGGAGAAGTTGAGCACTGTATCAGGTCTTAATGTCAGCCATAGCGTCCGTCATCCTGTCTGGTGTCATGAGGGTGTGGTCGGTGGGGTGGTTCCTCTTTGCTGGGTCTGGAACTGAAACACAACTAAAGTCTAGTTTGACTGAAACTCTGTGGTCAATAGATTTGAGACTTTGTTCCAAAGATTTAAAAAAAAATATTTTATTGATTTTTACAGAGAGGAAGGGAGAGGGATAGAGAGCTAGAAACATCGATGAGAGAGAAACATCGATCAGCTGCCTCCTGCACAACCCCCTACTGGGGATGTGCCCATCAACAAGGTACATGCCCTACAGGAATCAAACCTGGGACCCTTGAGTCCACAGGCCGACACTCTATCCACTGAGCCAAACAGGTTATGGCCCAAAGATTTGTTGATGCTGACAAGAACCTCATTGTCCTGAAGACTTAATAACTAAGTGAATGCAAGGGAGATGGTGAGTCAGGGTGCTAAATGGGGCCAGTTTAAACCAAAAGGAAAGGAGAAAAGGTCATATTAAAGAAATAAAATTTCTGCTTCACTTTCCTAGATCCCTCTGGTTTATTCCCATTATTCCCCATAGCCCAACACTCTCCCAAAGCTGAACCAAGCCATGGCAAGGATGTAGAGCAACTGAAGTCAGATGTAAAATGGTACTATCATTTTAGAAAATAGTTTGGCAGCTTCAAAAACCTTACCCATATACCTACCATACAGCCCAGCTATTTTGTTGCTAGGCAATTAGACAAGAAATGAGAGCGTGTGTTTACTGTTTGAGTTTTACAAGAAATGTTCACAACAGCGATATTTGTAGTAGCCAAAAGCTGGAAACCACCCACATTTGCATCAACAGGTAAATGGGTAAGTGTTTACATACAATTGTATTGATATAAAGACCCATTGATACAATAGAATACTACACGGCAATAATAATGGAATTGGCTCTTGAGAATACAAGCAACAATCTGGAGCATGACAGAAACAAGACAATAAAACTGAATGGTTCTATTTATATAAACCTTTACACTCTAAAGTGGTTCTCAACCTTCCTAATGCGGCGACCCTTTAATACAGTTCCTCATGTTGTGGTGACTCCCAACCATAAAATTATTTTCGTTGCTACTTCATAACTGTAATTTTGCTACTGTTATGAATCTTAATGTAAATATGTGATATGCAGGATGTATTTTCATTGTTCGCGACCCACAGGTTGAGAACCGCTGCGGAATGCACACTGAGACAAAGCAGCCAGTGGTTGCTAGGGGTTGGGGGTGAGGTGGGCAGCGACAGAAGAGATTACAAAGGGGCAGGAGGAAGCATTTGAAGAAGGTGGATATCTTGATTATCTTGATGGTGATGTTTCACAAGTCAAAACATCAAATTGTAGACTTTAAATATGTGCAATTTACATGTCAATTATATCACAATAAAAATGTTTAAAAAGCCATTCACTCCAAAATGTTTTCAAAAGTAGAATAGAATGTAAATGCCAGCTCTAGCAAGAACAGGCTTGTTGAAAAATGTTAGGATTAAGTATACCTCTTGCCTAAGACTCCGGCAACAGCACTGCCCTCACTCAGTCTTTTCCTTATGAACTTTAGGCTATGGGATGGAATAAAGAGCCCAGAAAAATTCTGAGATCCTGGATCTTCTGGAATGAGGAAGAGGAGTTGCTTAAGGTTCCAGGCCATGAGGCCACTTGGCATCCACCAAAATCTGCATTTTCCTTCCCTGGAAATTTGCTTGTACATGCTTGCATGTGGCTAGACATCTTGCAATCTTTTTTTGTAGTTCAGTGAGGCTACATGGCTATTCTCAGGAACAGAAAGTTATAAGCAGAAATTATGAATTCCACATAAGAACTAAGGATTTAAGAAGCAAACTGCTCCCAGTTTTCTTTGCCCTTCTGCTGTCTTGATGTTGATGGCAATACTGTCTTCGGGGATGGCAGAGCCACAGATGGAGCTTGCCCCATGCATCTCATGTGTCATAGTGCCACTCACCCCCTAGTTACATTCATGTTTTTTACATAAGAAATAAATAAGTTTATTTGATCTATTTTGTTTTTGGATTTAGTTTCCATAACAGTTTAGCCTACTGCATCACTCCAAAAATGTCAAGGCTAGGAGGCCCCTGACCAGACACCCTCCCCCAGCCCCGCCCCGCCCGAGAAAGCCAGGGCTGCAAACTCATTCTAATTTCTCCCCACATTTCACCTACAGCATTCCAGCAAGCACTTTGATTTTCCTATTAACTAAGGTCATTCACTAGGTACCTCCATAGGGAGAGGACAGCTGGGCTAACTCCTTTCACCTGGAACTTACTACATGGAAAATAAATGAAAAGGGCACAATTACAGACTCTTTTATCATCATCTCTTATCCCCCAACTTCCATCAGCCACATGGGCACTGGTTTGCCTGTCTCCTTTCATATTTCTTCTGATTAAAGTCCAGATAAGAATGAGAGTGTGCATTTGGCCTCTGGTCTCCCACAAATTTAACCTCCCAAATGAAACCTTACCCTAGTTAGCCAGTACTGGGATTTTACTGTGACCTATACTTCATCTCATACAGACACTAACTAACTAGAGCTGAGCCAGGAGGATGAACTAAAAATTCCTCAAACCACGATGGAATTGCAAATGTCCAAGAGCCTGAGGGCTAAAGGCAGGGACCAGACTATGCACAATCTGATAGATTCTATCCTCTGGCCATGATCCCTTTCTATGATCTTCCAAATTATAAATTTCTAGATATATTCAGATCCTCTTCTCTCTGCCAGTACCTTCTACACAAATGCCCCAGAGAGGTAGAGGATCCATGTAGCTATACTAGTAACATCTTCCTTATACTAGAGCCCCCTTATGGGGAGAAACTGCACTACAGGATAAGCTGTCCAATCAACATGTGAGCCACATATATAACTTAAAAATTTCTAGTATCTACACCAAACAAGTAAAGTAAAACAAGTGAAGTAAATATATATTTTATTTAATTTAATATATCCAAAATATTATGATCGTACTCTACAATATAAAAATAATTAATACAATCTTTTATATTATTTTGGACCAATGGTGCACATTTTACACTTATAGCATGTCTCAATTCACACTAGTCACATTTGAATTGCCAGTGGCCCTTGGCTACCAACTGGACACCAGCTCTAGTCAACTCCTTGATATTCGTTCCCACCCTCACTCCACCTCATAATTGCTTTTACAGTTGGCTTCAAAAGCATATAGCACCTCTCTACCAGAGTCATAGCTGCTCACTCACTGGCTGTTCATATTGAACTTAAAGGAAAGGGGATGTGGAGAAACGGAAAGAAATCATTCTCTTCCTAAAATAATCTATATTGGATGGATCATTTTCCTCTTCCCTTTTTGTACTTCAATGCATTTGACAGATTTTGTTTTAATTTTTCATTCACTACTCCTAACATTTTAAGATCCATAGAGGTAGTAGTAAAAACTGGTCAGAATTTCTTTCTTTAATTTTAAAGCCTCCAAAATTGACATAATAGACTTTAACACACTTATATGTATTTACACAAAATACATCAATTTCTTTGCTCATTTATTGCATTTTATAAAACCTGTGATATTATAAGAATGTAAAGTTACAGGTCGATTTCTTTCATAAATAGAGATAAAAATAAAATCTAAGACATGTATTAGCAAAACAAATTCAGTATTGCACATGAAAAATGATAGTGTCTTATTTCAGGAATTTGTATTAGATTTAAACATTGAAACAAATCAATGTACTCCAATAACAGAATAAAAATGACACGATTATCTCAATCATTAGTGACAATATCTGTTGAAATTCAATTTTCCATTCAGAACAAAGCTTATAGCAAATTAAGAGAACGTCCCAAATTTGATCCTATTCATTGACAAAAAAATTATCATGATTAATAGTAAAAGGCTGAAAATTACCTCTCACCTATCTCTAGAGCTGTAATTACTTAATGAAGGATGTTCATTGTCACCACCAGTGCATTCTAGCCCTGAGTAAATGTTCAAAGGAAAAGGAAAAAGGAAGGAGACTGCAGAAAACAGAAGGTCAGAAAGGAGACTGAGGTGTGGATGAGCCTCAAAGGCTACTGCTCAGGTGTGGGTGAGGGCAGCAGAATGTTTAAGAGCTTGGGCGACGCAGGGTCATTGGGACTACACAGTTGCAAGGATTAAAATATGGGCAAAGAGTGGTAGGAAAGTAATATTTAGTGAAGGTGTAGATGGGAAAGCCGTGGTTTGTGACATTAAAAAAGGAGACAGTGCCGGCCTCATAGTCTACGAAAACCCCAACCCTGCGAGGGGGCACCGTCATGGAGAGGAGCAGGGAACTGGAAGAGTCCTCATAGGCTCTATATTCATGTTTATGGTGCAACCCAATCACCCAGTAGCCATTTTGAGGTTGATATCTGGAGTAAACATTGCGATTGTTCAAAAACTGGTTGACAGAGAATGGAGATCCCACGGCATCACTGCACACGCCCAGGATCCAGTCAGTCTTCTTGACCACATCCACTTCCCAGTAATGTTTTCCAGAGGAGAAATACTGCGAGCCCAGGACGCCGCAGTCATAGTGCTCTTCCAGATGAGACCCAGACAGAGCGGCGCCCACAAATCTCACCTGTCTCCGGTTTTTAGACAGGACAAGATTTAAATTAGCTGTGTGTGGATTCAGAGTCACGTCCACTGTGGAAAAAAAGGTACAACATCAGCAGATGACAAGGGGTGCAGGGGTCTTATGACACTGAGAAGAGGAGACACAGAAGTGGGTGGGAGGAATTGGAACTGTGTGGAGGGGGTATGGGCAGAAGTATCACCAGCTTATACCGGTG